GTTTCTGAGATGTGTTGATGTAGCGGGTGATGAGCTCCTCCAGCAGCTCTTCGTTGGTGCCCGGGTATTGATGGACAATTCGCGCGAGCTGTTTGCGTGCGGCCGACTTGGAGCTACCAGGGTCCAGCAGGTGTCGCAGAAGATGCCACGTTTTCTTGCAGCCCATCTGGCCATTGAGGCTGCCGCAAAGTTGGCCCCACTGTTGGCGTGTTAGCACAGCGGTGTGGGCTTCTAATTCACGTTCGAGCCTCGAGATGCGGCGGCGGAGCCTTGTGTTGTGACGTTGGCGCCGCCACCTACGCATGAGGCTTTCATGCGCCTCCCACATATGTAGAAGGCGTGAATCTGTTGATGGCTGTTCCGGAGTTACGTCTGCTTGGTATGTTGTAGCGTCCACATCTCGACTCAAAGAAAGTATCCATTCGTTCAAGTCCAATACCGAATCGGGTGCCGTTTCTTTGCGCAGTTGGCGGAATTTATCCCAGTCTGTAATGCGAGCTGTGGCTCGTTTTTTTACATTGCTTGTGGTTAACTCAATGGTTACCGCTAGAATGAAATGGTCACTTCCTACGGTGTGACCTGTGTTTTGCCAACGGGCACCCTCCGTGTTTTTGCAAAGGGAGAGGTCTGGGGTAGTATCTCGACATACGCTGTTCCCGATTCGCGTCGATTGCTCCGGATCATTGAGGATACTGAAACCTAGGTCGTGTATGATGCTCCATAATCGGCGACCCTTGGGGTTGGATTTCGGGTATCCCCATTCGGGATGTTTTGCGTTAAAATCGCCTAGTACGAGCAGCTTTGCATCCTTCGCCAGATTTGTTGCTTTCCGAAAGATGTAAGGTAGATCCGCAGCTGTATCTCTTGGAGGGCTGTATATATTTAAAATGAAGAGTGGCTTGTCTCCTCGTCTTTTTGGTATAATTTCCACCAGTGTGTGATGAATACTCGTACCCTCAATTTCATGTTGAATGGCTGTGACATTCTTGTGTACTAAGATGGCAGTGTGGCATTGTGCGCTCGCGGATATGTCTATTTTCTGATTATATGATGCGTATCCGGGCAGTTGAGCGGCAGTGTTCGTTTCTTGTAAAACTATGATGTCCGGCGAACATTCCCCATTTGGTGCATGGTTTTGAATATGCTGGATATGTTGCTGCAGATGGCCCTTCTTATTGCGGAAGCTCCTGCAGTTCCACTGCCAGACGGTGAGCGTGTGGAGAGCCGCCATGACTATGTTATTGGCGTAGGGGCCGGTGTTTGCCGGCTATTGGATGGTGTGCGGTGGATGGCCAACTGCACACTGAAGTCGGCCAGTGCAGCTTCGGTCGAGCTCTTTAACACGGCGAATGAGGTGGTTGTTTCCCGGATGGTTTGGTGGATCGCATTAAAGCGCGTTTCTATTTCAGCGTTCAGATCGGATTTCAGCGTTGAGATGGCTGCCGTGACTGCCGTCGTTACTTTTGTAGTGATGTCGGCGTCTGCGTGGAGTGAAGCTGTGGGTGTAGCTGCCTTGCGTTTATTAGCGTTCTGAAGTTGAGGAACTGGCGATAACGCCGGGTTTGGTGCCAGGGGGTTCGGATGTGCGTCTTGTGTTTCGGATGATGTGGGTGTAGTTTGTTTGTCGATACTGAGTGCTCTATCTATTTTGGCTTCTAGAGACTGGATGTAGCTAGTCAATTTAGCTATCTGGGACTGCTGGGCCGAGATTTGAGCCTTAAGGGCAGAATTCTCCTTTGCCAACTCCCTCACCTGTGAATCGGAAAATAGTAGTGATGCCGGGGCGCCCCGCTGCCAGGCCACCGACTTGGACGCTTCTCCGGGACCTCGACTGGATGAACGAGACACCGATGGGCTGCGCCTGGCTGATTTGGACCTTGAGTGAGATGAGGGCCTGCTGTCTCGTCGTTGGGCTGAGCGTGACCTCGGGCGCCTGCTGTGGGATCGACACCTGCTGCCACGTCGTTTAGCTGAACGAGACCCTGAGCGCCGGGTGTGGGATGGGGACCTGCTCTCTCGGCGCTGCTGCTGGTTGCTGCTGTTCCCGAGTGGTGGGAGAGATGCAGAATGGTCTCGAGATGATGGGGAGCGTCTGCTGGAGGAGCCACTGTGAGATGGGTTGCGATGGATGTTCGACGAAGGTTCTTGCGCTTCTTGCTTCGATTGCGGGGTGGGTGGCGCCTTCTTGATAAAGCGATACTTGCAGTTTGAGCTGCCGGTGTTGTGTGCACCATTGCAGACGATGCAGCGTGGCGTGCATGCGGGTGTTTCGCCCTGTCCTGGTGTGGGGTGTTCCTCTCCGCAACGGCGGCACCGCTGCTTACGTGGCATCGGGCAAACATCCGTGCGGTGACCAACCTTGCGGCAGTTAAAACACGATTCCACCCTGTTGTAGAACGGGTACAGCCTGATGTCGGTTCCGTGGTAGAATATCCACTTTGGAAGGTTTGGCGTCATTAGTGCAACCACGACGTGCCTAGTTTGGCCCAAGCGTCTTCCACTCACGATAGGAATGGTGGGGTTGCTGGCTTGTAGGTCTGCCAAAATCTCTTCGTCTGAGAAGTCATCGTATGCATGGAACATGATGCCTCGTATGGCGTCGTCTGGAGGGGGGGCGTAGACATGGAGCTCGATAGTAGCAGCGCCGATGGTAATCGACTTCACTCGAAGGTAGGCTTGGGCGCGTTGCGAGTCGATCACGCTCAAGGTAAAGGTATTATTGGTGGGGTGCGTCCGAAGGCGATCCCGACTTGCTGGTGGCTGATCTGGCAGTGAAGCTGCCTTGAGCAGGGCGTCGTGCAATTGCCACGGCGGCACTTTCGTCAAGTCGATGGGCGTTCTTGGACGTCCTACTATATGAATGGAGTCTTGCGGCAATCGGGGGAGTGGTGCCCGCCGACGTAACCGAGGCGGACGTGACTTGACCTGGGGTTGGCGTTCCGGCACAGCGGCGCGGGCATTCTCCGACGTACACGGTTGAAGAACGGGCTTGCCTTGGTTTTGAAGTTCCCGTCGGCGTCGTTCCTGGGCACGATAGCCGGGCGATTGCCAGGAATCGTCGGACCACTCCTCTTCAGAGATGGTATGACCTTCTACGACGCACTCCATTCCGGTGGGCGGCTGGGCACGACGATGTGAGTAGCGTGAGACGCTGCACCAGGCTTAGGCAAGGAGCCGGACGCGCGCTGAGCCAGCTAGGCTCAGGGCGGCGAGCGGCGTTGGTCGGGTCAGCAGATGCTCCTGGGAGAATCTTGATAAATCCAGTGCAGAGAGTGATATCCGCGCGTTCCCAATAACCTCATGCACCCACTCATACATAAATTATTGGTCAGTAAGCACGCGTCGCAGCGAAAATGCCGAAAGGCTCGGGAGACGATGTACAGTGCGTCCTACTGCTCCGAGCGTCTCCCTCGATCCCTCCGAATGTTTTGAGGAATTCGCTCTTAAAGACAGTCCAGTCGGTTAAGGAGCCTTCATGGTTCTCAAACCACGTTCGAGCCGCATCCTTTAAATAGAAGAAGACATGACGAAACGTTTCTTTGTCATCCCACCTGTTCAAGATGCGGATGCGCACCAGCTTCTCCAGCCACTCTTCCGGGTCTTCACCAGGAGATCCTCGGAATAATGGGGGCTCACGAGGTTGTTGCAGAACGACGGGAGGGTTGGTAGCGCTGGTCATGGTGCCTGCGTCAATCATCGTGGTTTTTACGTCTTCTTTCCTCCTTTTATCCGGGAGCAGTCCAAACTCTGGCTGAAGGCCTTGCTGTCGGCGGCTGACACGAGTTGGGCGTGCTTGTCGTGTTGGGCTTGCTTGTCGGCTTGGCAATGGCTTAGGGTTCATGTACCCCGCACCTCCACCAGATTTCACGCAGCAAAGGACGACGCAGTTGTCTATAAGGAAAACAAGTTTATTGGAGTGAACTTGTGCTCCCCTAACAACTGAAAGAATACACAGGCGGCGAAGCAGTGGTCGGCAAGTGGTCGGCAAAACGACGTGCACGCTAGTGAGCGTCGGCGATCGAATGTCGCGGCATCGGCTGCGCGGGAATTTATATCCCTCGGCGCGAGGGTTTCTCGAATAGTCGAATTGTATCGAGAACGCTGTGATAGCGTTTATTCGAAACGCTGTTTGTTCGGAATGCTCGAAACGCTGTTCGATAGCGTTTGTTCGAAACGCTGTGATAGCGTTTGTTCGAAACGCTGTGAAAACAGTGATAGCACAGGCCGGCGCAGCCAGGCCGAAAAAACAAAACACAAACAAACAAACACAATGCATGGTTCGCGGCAATATATACTGATGCTTTCAGATCGCAACCATATTTGATATTTAGTGTACACGCGAGAAGTCACCGACCAGAAAGAACACGTTTAGTTGAGTATTGTGTATATGGCTACCGTATGGGCAGCCAAAACGTCATGTTAACTTCAAGATCTTTTTGGTCTGTGCGCTTTTTCTCGTTTACACCTAGTATTTACCTGGCGAGGCCAGATGTCATCAAAGTTTTTATTTCAGAATCGATAACAATCATAAGCCCTGAAAAAAAAAAAACGTCGCAAGCATTGTCACAGCCATAACTAACTGCAGGCAGCCGTGAAAAAACAGCTACAACTGTCGCTACGTTTTCATTATGCTGTGATTCTTCGCCCTGCAACTTTCAAAGGTTGTGACTACTGGCTTTTTACTGCTTTTCTTTTTACGTGTGCGCATTTCCCTTATAATTGTGCTAGTTCTCAGAATCGTTTAAACTGTCACCTAAGATCAATATTTTCATGCAACCTGAGTAGGCTATAAAGTGCGCGATCGATACTTAGTATGTAGTGTTATAGATTATGTAAAGTCCATCTTGTAAAACGAATGGGCGATTAATAAACTTTATTATTGGATCTTTGGGCAACACAGAACATCCGTGAAGTGAAAAAAAAATATCACGCATTCGATGTGTGCGACCTCACATGAGGTCGCAATAGAGAAGAAAAATTCCGTGCACGAAGAACAACACTCATCGCCGACGGCGTGAAGCACCAGCCGACCAACTACCGTATCCGGCAGGTCCGTAGCGCCCTCCATTGTAGCCAGCAGCACCGTAGTCGTAAGGAGCTGAACCTCTGTAGACGTAGCCGCCGAGTGCTGGTCCATTCGGAGAGTTGCCGTAGCTGCCATACCCACCGTATCCGTATCCACCAGCACCACGGCCATACTGGTCATACCCGCCATATCTACCGTATCCGCCGGCGTAGCTGTTGTAGCCAGGTGCTGTAGTTCTGGCGCCAAATGCGCCGCTAGCCGCCCCTCCAGCGGGCACTGGAGGAACTATGGGAGCGGCGTTAAATACGGCGTCGGCACTGGCGCCCGGTGCAGTGCCTGGCTCGTTGGTGTCCACCGTGGCGCGAAATCCATTGGCATCGGCGATGTAGCTTACTCGCCGATATATGCCATTTACGTCACGGTAGCCGTATGAACCAGTCTTCACATTGTTTGCGTCACCCTGTTCACTTCGGAACTGCCGGTTGCCGAACTCGTCCACCGTGTCGTATCCAAAGCTGTACGGCTGTGGCGGCTACAAAAGAAAAAAGAAAGAAAAAAAAAGCAGAAGCTACAAATGAACTTGCTGCTTACCTGCTAAGCTGTATTTTTGCACCAATATGGACAAGATTTTTACTCGCCCTTGTGGAAGATGGGAAATGTTTTAAGCTCGAAAAGTTAAAAGGTGGGCTTCAATTAATGTTGTGACCTGTTACACTGCGTTGGGGAATGAGTGGAAAAGAAGTAAGTACGAAGATTTGGATAATGAATATGTAAGTCGGGATATATCTTTAATATACTAATAAGCTTTGGCCTATTTTCGTGTTCTGTAATGTTACTTTAATAAATCAATCACTTTTCGAGTTGAGTATTGTGCAGAGATTTTCTGAGTGCTTTTAGTTCTTTCAGACGATTGCGCAGATGACGAAGGTCATTCCAAGGGACAAACACAACTTCATTTTTTTCTAATGGACACTGCGTAACATAATGGAAATGCTTTTTTGTGAGTTTCCAATAATAAGTTTACGAACATTTCCCCAGGAAAACAATAGAAATTTCAAGTTCTGGTTTCTTGTTCTTTCCAATGTGTGTCATGATAACTATATAGTCATATCAACAGGCTTACCACTGAGCCATTAATGTGTTGCTTACACGACGTTCATTGAGCAATGCCAAATATAATTTTATAGCGTCGGTGTATGGCTATAACGCATTTGAAAATACTTGATACAACACGAAACTCGTCTGAGATTTCAAAGAGAACATATGCATAAAGGTGTATAAGAATTGTACACAAGCACATACAAGAAAAAAAGAAGTTGAATGTGCAATATATGCCCAAACGTTGTGTATGATATAGGTGACTACCCAATATGGCCGCCTGTGAGCGATACAGCTTTTTTCGCTGGCTGCTTGTATGCGCCTCATGGAAATGCGTTTCTCATGTCTATATTGCGCTAATTTCCATTCTTCGCGCAAGCAGACAATTACTCTTCAAACAAAAAGAATTGATGTATACTGCATTTTGCGCAAGGTTTCTTTGGTCACAGACTTGGGATTTCTACGCCATGCATGTTCTATTTTGCCGTATCAATTGTTCACGTTCGCTTTCTAGCGCCATACGCTCTATGCGGAGTTAGGCGAATAATCGAAAAGATAACGGCGCTTGTGGAATGTGAAGCCGTGCCGAAGCGGTATGAAATACTCTCTTCCTCACATGAACATTACCAGAAATATTCGCCAAAGAGCGACAGCAGCGTGAACGCTTCGATGCATATGCTCATTAACTCGGCATAATCTAAGCGGTGACTGTGGGTGAATTTTCCATTTACATATTCTGCGAAAATGAGCCTCCAACATATGTTGACAAACAATCAGTAAGACCTTATATGCTAAGAGTGACTGTTTGTGACGAGGTACACCCACACCAAGGTACATGTATGCGTGCGTGCATGATATATGTCGCAATGTGGTACTTGCCGCAAATATGTGGTACACCAAGGTACGTGTAGGCGACATGTAAACTAACATGTACACTAACGTGTGTGTCATTGAATGGGTACACCAAGAGACTGATAGGCGCTGCTTTTATGTGTTTTTGTCTTCACAAAATAGCTGTCGCATTACTTTTGTTGCCTATGGCAATAATAGCGCTTTCTTCAGGTGAGCTATAGAGACGCGTGATTGATATCACGCATTTTTTCGTGAGGCATCCCATACTGTCGCTGTTAATTGCAACATCACCGTGAAGTGAAGACGGCGTATATCAGTATTGGTGTCCATGGTTTTGTGATCAGTAAAAACAGAATTGACATGTGTTTCGAAATCTAACGCTTAATCTTCGTCACAAATGATCTACAATCTGAGTATCAGAGTGCCATTGTTTTTAATTACATCTATAGGTGACGCTTGTATGAATTCTCTCCACCCATTCACCTCTCCCCACCACCTTCTTACGCTCCCTCCATCTGAACTGTCCTTGGCATTGTGAGACGAAATTTTGTAATCGTGGTGGCAAGATAAGATGTTTGTGAGACGCCAGTGGTACACGATGGTGGGAAATGTTTTTTAACATATATTGCTGCATTCACAGTATTGTATCTCAGTCTGTCAAGGTTCCAATGAGCGAGGAGAGTGCGAAACAATCTCAGTCACTTACGGATGCGTAGTCAGCGTATCCTTGGTAAGGGACAGCACCCCCAGGAGCAGCGTAGCCGTTGTAACCAGGGTTCTGATAGCCTGCCCCTCCCTGATTGTTATTGAGTCCAAGGGACGTTGCCGCGATGCAGGCAAGAACGACCTGAACCTGTCCAAAAACACCAGCGTTTATAAACATAAATGTTCAAGCGTTCTCACCGGTTTCGAGAGAATAGAAAGTTGATTAGTCTCTGCCTTAAAGCATCATACGGTACACCTCGAAAGATATACTACAAGGTCGTAGTTACTACGAACTCAGTAAGAAAAGCTGAGCGTTTGCAGAAAGAATGTTACACCAACACAGCTTATACATTTTTGTATCGTGGACAGCAAGCGTAGTGCAGCTGCTGGTTTGAATACAAGCATGGCTTCAGAGATGCTGTAATGTTGCTCTTAGGCATTTGAAGTTCTATTGCCTGCATTCGCGAAGGCTATTCTCATAGATTTCCGCAATGACCATAAAAATTGTTTTACGGTCTAGTTGTAAACTTTAGAGTTTATTATCATGAATACGGAGAGATATAGGTACGACGAGCAGAGAAGTTAATGGTATTTGGATCATGTCAACAGAATATCATAAGTTAAACAGATGCACGTAAAAAAAACTAGAAATAAACATTTTTGTTTTTGCTTTGAGGTGTATCTAGATCTCCAATCTTGCTACAGAAATACTTTCGGAAAGTAATGTTACGTGGCATCAGTCATAATCCTGGAAATACGGATGGTGTTCCCCGCATCATCACTGACGACCGGTATGTACAATTATCTATATTTGTTACAAAGACAGCTGTCGATAAATGTACCACCAAAGCAACTGACAAATTAAGAAATTGCACCCTAAAGCGTGATGCCCCGAAAATTCACCTTTGTTGACAACATTCCAGCCGCTTTGAAGCTTTCACTGAGCAAGAACGCAGCTATCCGAATGAGTAAACAGCCGCTGTTTTCTGGCTCTTCACCTCTGTGGCGAAGCTTTTATACTCTCTGCCAACAGGACGTTCCCAATCTTTGCGAATAAACAACAACAAAAGCAAGCCCTCTCTCACTGTGGTCGCTTGAGTCATCGTATTTCGTAAAATACTTTTCGTGCTACATACACATAAACCCTCCACGGTTAGGTCAGTAGCTGGCTCACCCGGAGGCCCAAAAGCCCAGCGACAATTGTTGCTCGTCATGGACACCAACGTGCGCAGAGGCAAGTTCACGCCGTCACGCTTATTGTACAGTGGCGGCAGTGGTGACACTGACGCCGGCAAACACGGTTTCGTTTTCTTTTGTTGCGTGATTGTAGTACACAGACTGCTCGCACATTTTCTGTCCTTTCAACATCGTTTAAGGGGGTGTAGGATTGTCATGTTTTTTAGTGTTTCATGCTAATTCAGCACTCTTTTCAAACGCACGAGAAAAACGCTTCGTCGCATGTTTCTTTTGAATTGAGTTTATCGATATAACTGAATAAACCATCCGCTAATCTATCTTCTGCAGAATGAAAGCATATATGTTATACTTTATTTTTTTAACCTAGGTGTTCGACTGGATATTAGGCTGGAAACGAGATACGTGCAGATTTACACCAGAAAAGAATAAATATTTAATCTCTTCTGAAGCAACTGGTTATTGAATCTATCAATTTTTACGCCTTATTCCTCGCCACTACAGGTAATCACTGCGTTTTCTCACTATTTGTAGTTTTTAAAATGGCGGCTTAATTATATATAAAAATCTGATATAGATAGACGTCATCGATTGAGATTTAGCAAATAACACTAATAAATGAGCACCAAGCTCAATCACCTTCGTTAAAAAAATAGCCACATATGAAAAGCAGCTTTCCGGCAGGCTTCACGCATTTCATTATATATAGTTTTCTAAACAACATTGCACCATGCACCTCGATAGAACGCACTAGACTGCAAAAATTATTGGACCCTGTAATACCAGAAGCAAGGGAGCCGTTTGTTTTGTGGAGGCGTGGGAGTGGGCCAGATCCACACGTTAAATAATGCTTCCGCACGAAAAGTTCCACAACAACAACAACAACAACAACAACAACAACAACAACAACAACAACAACAACAACAACAACAAAAATAAACGATGAGGAGGGGTGCTGACTCCCAACTATATATTTAAGTGTATATATTTGAGTGTTCCTGAAAAAAACATTGTGTTCTCTCAACATTGCCATCCACCAAACCATGATCGCTTTCTTCAACAGTGGAAAACTTCTGTCTCGTCCTGATAGTGTCTCATGTGCGACTATTGCATAAAGTTGATAGTTATGCCCCAGACAGTTACCAGTGAGACCTTTTTTTTTTTCTTTTTCAAACGAATTGAGTCTCAAAATAATGAAAAATTTGCTATATGGTATGAGTACCATAAATGCTGTTAAGTACTTGCGCAAATCATTGAAATAAAGCACTTTCACGCATGCACACTAACCAAATCTGCAATGTTTTGTGATTCTTGGAAATCTTTTTGTAGCCGAATTGAGTTCATTTACAAACCTTGTAGCTGTTAGTCTCTCCACTGCCTTCAGTGTTTAACTGCATGGCCAGCTCTCGAATGCAGCAATATTCTAGGCATTCGCCAGGAGAACGAATTAGCTTCACTTCGTGGGTTAATTCGTCGGAAAGTTTAAATTGAAGAGTTATGCGAAATAAACACCACTATACGTCTGACATGTTCAAATATACAATAAACGTTTTGGTAACCGGGTGCAGATTTCGGGGAGAAAGAAAATTTTCTCGTAGCGATGTTTTTCGACTCTTGCGGGTTGCACATATCTCTACATCACATCACCTGCAATTGATTTAACACTACTTTCAATGTTGCAGGTTACTAAATAATTTCTGAACCAAAATGAAAAAAAAACTTGACTTTCGTTTTAAATGCCGTGCCGCCATAAAAGGACCACCAACGTTTCTTTTACGCGAGAATGACACCATAAACAGATGCGGTGGCTCTTCCAGCAAAAGACATTGCATTTCTTACCTTAATATGCGCCTGAAAATGTCGTTCCAATTATGTTTTAGGGGCGAACCTCCTTATGGTCGAGCCATGTCCCCTGCTCATCGGCTTGACCCGCTATGGATTTCCATGTCCAATGAATATCCACATGGATAACCATACCATTACTGATACGGACATCTCACCACCGTATGCGCATTGTGATTAATATACAACTTTGTATATAATGTACAGACGCGTTGTCCCGTTCTTGCAGGATCGAGAAGGCAATCTACGTTGGTTAATTATCCCCGGGAGCTTCGCCCACTCATCATGATTCACTTCGTGGATATGGTGTGGTTTCTTTCTTTTTCGGCTCAGTACTGCAAAAAAAAAAATGACTGGTGGATAAATGAATAGTCAAAATATAAGCTTGGGACGCCAGCTTTTCATTTCTGATTGGGTGTTACGTTGTATCTATTCCGTCACGCAGCACATTTTCGTCCTAAACAATTATGAATGACACTAAAGAGAATGGTTCAACGTTACGTTTCAAATTTTTCTGTAGAGCTTAAAATTAAGTGCTTTTTTTCAATCGATTGCGCACTTTTTTTTCTGTTGATGTTTAAAATGGGCACTAAAGGCAACTGATAAGTTGACGTTGATGGTTGAAATAGTGGTCCAAAAACCTCGTAGAGTTACTTTTATGCCAAGCAAGCGCTTATTTTGAAACAAAATCAAGTTTTACTGGTCCGCATCGGGTTGGTCAACTTCAATTTACCCGCCTCAAGCGGAACGTGTCACGTCCCTAGTGCCGTGCAAAACGTTGCCCGGCTTTACTGCGCAGCCGCTGACACTACAGTAGCAGCAAAACGAAAGTAGCGGGCGCCAAAGCAGAAACAACAGACTTAAACCATTTCCTTTCATGGCCTACGAGATAGCAGACAATACTGCTTCAACTGAACCCCGCTAGATTGCAAAACCTGTCCAGTTTCACCAGGCGAAATTATAACTTTTGAACCGCTCGCGCCATTCCCCATAGTAACGTTCGGTGGTTTTTTCCTTCAGAATCAGACAGACACGAACAAGCAACATTTCATTACATCTCTTGATGCATAGAATGTTTTTAATTAGTACATTTTGTTTGATTACTAGTGGTTAATTTTACGCGGTACTACGGACGTCATTGGGATCACTTTGCGAATGTCTTATTGTAGCGCTTGTGCTCCCGTGCATTTACCTTAATTTCTCGGTAAATAGAGCACTGTGAATGATAATATTGTCGTTTTAGATGTTGTCAATCATCGAGCTTCCACTCGGTCATAAATTGTTCTTTGACTTTAGGGTCCTTTCAAATAACGTAAGTATATACAGGCCTAAAAATTATCGATCACCAAGAATAGGTTCCAACCGGTTACTGAAAAGCAAACCACTTAACCAATCGATATATTGGTACATCTATTTGTTCCTCAGTAATGTAGTGTAGCCCATTTTTCGGGATAGATAATTTTAAGGGCGGTGTATACATATACCATATAGAACATCCACAGAAAAAAAAAGCAGCGTGCTATCGATTGAAAAAAAAATTATATTATTGTAAGTTCTGCCCAATATTTTAAAGAAATACTGTTGAGCCGTTTACCTTAAAAACTGCTCATGAATAAAAAATTGTGTGCATGCGCTAGGTCACTCAGGGCTGGGCCACAGCGGAGCTGGGGGGAAACCAGCTGGTCCTGGCTTGTCTAGGTCATCACAATCTCTTACCCCACCGCGGTCATCTAATGGCAGCGGCGGCTGCAATCCCGGCTGAGACGCTGCATTTTCGATAGAGGTGAAAGTGCTGTAGGCCTGTGTGCTCAGATTTGGGTGCACATTAAAGGACCCCAGGTGGTCTAAATTTCCGGGGCCCTCCACTAGGGCGTCTGCAATAATCATGTGGTGGTTTTCGGACGTCAAACCCCACAAATCACGACGATAGTTATAGCGCGAGAACAAAACGATGGCACAGAGACAAGAAGGACTCGCTGTGTCGTCGTTTTGTTCTCGCGCTATAACTATCGTCATGCCATACCAACTAGCCCAGGCTGCCACACTTCTAACCCACAAATCAATCAATGAGCTTTGAATCTTTCATCTCTTTGCCAGCCGTCACTTATATTATACCAAACATGGCTATGAGGGTTCCCTCTCTTTTGTTATATTCTGTATCTGTTAATACCTACCTCTTTCACTCTGTCTGTCTTTTAGTGTCATGCGATTAGTTTCTTCTTTCCTTTTATTGTTTATTTATTTTTTTCTCTTTCGGTCTGTCTTTCTTTCTCTCGGCCTTTCTCACTGTAGTGATTCTTTCGCGTTTGTCTTTTTTTCTCTCTTTTTCTCTTTGTCTTTGTCATTTTTTCTTCTTTATACCTTCACTCTCTCCATAGATTTCTCTTTCTTTCTACATTCTTTTACATGCGAAGCATTTCTCAGTGAACTTAGGTGACTTTGAGCGTATCTATCTATCTATCTATCTATCTATCTATCTATCTATCTATCTATCTATCTATCTATCTATCTATCTATCTATCTATCTATCTATCTATCTATCTATCTATCTATCTATCTATCTATCTATCTATATGGCCGCCTACGACTTATAGCTTTCCTGGCTGTTTGGATAATGCTGTCGATACCAAATTTGGTATGGCATAACATGACTGTATGACGAGCACATTTGACTAGTCATCACATGAAAATCATGACAAGTATGTCATGAATGCTATGATTTACATTTCATGGTCTTGCTGCTCTTGCTGTGGTTTCATTCACATAACATGTTACAAAACTCGTATGGTATGACATGGTTGCATGGCGAACACAAGTCACCGATCCTTAGATAAAAATCATGACATGCGTGCCATGTAACAACATGATACATGCCAGGCTCATGATGCGCACGCGGCCATTTTGTTAGCGTCACATATACGGAATTTGGTATTACGAATGACGGAGGGTGTGACTGCTGCAAACATGATAATCATGAGATGCGCGTCATGTAACAACATGAATACATGCCACGCTCATGATGCGCTGGCGGCCGTTTCGCTAGCTTCACTTATACCAAATTCGGCATAACGGGACGTCAATGGATGAAAAAGGTATGATACTGGCGCAAACATGACAAACATGAGATGCGTGTCATGTAACAACATGACTACATGCTACGTTCATGATGAGCTCGCGGCCATTTCGCTAGATTCACATTTACCAAACTTGGTATTACGCGACGCGTACAGACGACATAGGTAAATGTCACATCCGAGCATCATAATTACGACATGCGTGTCATGTAACAACATGACTACGTGCCACAATGATGATACGCTCGCGGCTGTTTCGCTATCTTCACATATGCAAAATTCGGTATTACGTGACGTCAAAGAATGACAAAGGTATGTGACTGGTGCAAACATGATAATCATGAGATGCGTTTGATGTGAGAACATGACTACATGCCACAATCAAGGCGCCAATACATTTCGACGTGACGCGGTGCTTGTGCTCGCCGGCGTTCATTTTTCTAAGTCACGCCGGCGTTGCCACGCCAGGGGCGGGTCCTGCCATGTACTTGCAGGCGCGTGACGCGCTGCGTTGCTTTGACGCATGTGCGTTTGAACGCGTCTTGCGTCCCTCCCTCACAAAAAGTGGCAGATGCAGTGCTGTCTGGGTAACGTAGTGGGTGTGAAGTGCAGCATGTCGCTTTTCGCGCCGGCTGGCATCGGGCCGCGCCGACGGACGCAGATCGCGCCACTCGCGCCTAGCGTCAGGCTATGGAGTTCTCACGTTTTGCTAATGTATAGCGTAGCTGTGCCCAGCGTGCGCGCGCGTCAACGTTACGTTAGAGTATATTGGGCCCTTTATGATGATACGCTCGTAGCCATTTCGCTAGCTCCAGACATACCAAATTTGGTGTTATGTGATATTGTTGGATGACGAAATATATCACTAGTGCAAACTTGATAATCTTGACACGTGTGTCATGTAAGAACATGAGAACATACCACGATAATAGCGTGCTGGCGGCTGTTTCGCTAGCTCCACATATAGTAAATTTGGTATCACGTGACATGAATAGTTGACGAAGCTAAACCACCCATCCAAACATGATAATCATGAAATGAAAGTCAAGTACGGCATCATTTACCTGCACCTCGTAACGTTGTGCTGATTTTAAAGTGAATTATGAACATTTCTCATTCGTGCTTCACATATCGTCGATTACCACTGTACGTGGGATCTGCCAATTTTGTTTTTTTGTTTGAGCGACACTTCATGAAATTATCCTAAATATATGTACTAAATGTACAAATGTTGCACGCGCAGACACATGTTGAAGAGTTTCAGGTGTTCATATTGATACAAAACAGCTGCTAAACACGGCTGCATGAAAGAGGTGGACGAAGTGGGTTTTTCCGTTGGATGCTGGTCTAACGCCATCTTGCTCGTCGGGTTCTCTGCGCTGTCAATAGCTCATTAAACAAGTTACTCGTAACATTATTGGTGGAGGTGGACGACCCCCCGTACCTCTATGGAGACGCGCAGCGGTCGCACCATCGGCGACCTTTCGACTGCTTCGACTGCTGTTAC